ATAAGAACTTCATACTCACAATAAATTAATGCGAACAAGTATATACTTACTCGATTAGCTAGATTAATGCAAAATCAAATAAATAAATGCTCACAAACTTGAATCACTTATTTTAATTGATTAAAAAGTTCTTTTACACTCACCATCCAAATTAACACGAATAATAAGAGACACTGAATAACTATATACAATGTTAGCGATGTAACTAATTATCATGTTGGTTCGAGTTATTGTATTTTATTGTTTAAACGAGTTGTTTTACTTGTAAAAATATGACGCATTTTATTTTGTGAATTCAATACAGTAAATATTCTCGAAATCAAAGCGAAAGTAAAACGAAAGTCAAAGTAAAAGTCAAAACGGAAGTCACAAAACGGGAGTCAAACCGAAAGTCAAAACGAATGTCAAAGTGAGATTCATTTGTCATATTATTATCTACTTTTGGTGTGATCTGTATATTTAATCAATTAACACTACGGTCAAGGGTCCAATATTATCAAACTTCACCGGCTGTCCATAGTTTTAATAAATGATCTGCACCTGAGGATATTATCCATGATTGAGTAGGATGAAACTCGTAATGTAAAACACCTACATAAATGTATAAATTTAAATGAAGATTAATTTATTTAATTAAAAAAAAAAAAAAAAAACAAAAAAAAAAAAAGTAGTCGCATGACATTCCAAATGACTTAATTGGTGGGATATGACGGATTTGTCAAATAAAATCCCGACCCAATGTGGACTAGCATATCGGGTTTTTGACTCTTCGGGATTTTGATCGGTTCTTAGAAAAGGGACAATTTTATATGAATTTTGAGAAATTACCTAGATTGTCTACTACCTGATGATCTGTCTTTAATATCCTTACAGGAACAATCAAGGGATTTTGAAGCAGATCATTATAAACCATGCCATGAAATATTTGGATGGTTCCGTCGTCACTACACGATGCGAAAAGCGGAAGACGCTTGTGGAAGCAACACTGCGAATAGCTTTTGAATGAAACCTTTAAATACAAAATATAAACTCAAGATTTGAAAGAACATAAAAAAGCAAATGTTAAAAGAAAAAAAATATATATATATACCGTAATGCTTTGTATGGCCTCGATGAAAGGTCCAAATCAAACCAACATAACCGTTTATCATAACTTCCTATGATGACATTTTCACCTTTATAAAAGAGAAGTTTGGTAATAAATACTTAAATACCACGATTTAAGACGTAAATGTATTATATGGATGTATAAATGTATATGCTGCCATTATTAGCAGTTCTAACTACACCCATTGAGTGAATATCTAAGCTTGAAATCCATTTAACGCCTGACTGCAATGTTTTAATTAATTCTTGTTTCACCAAATTATAGATGCGCACAAATCTTTGAGTCTATAAAAATTGGTAGAAAGAAAAAATTACCAAAAATTGGAAATCAATTTAATAAAATTTGCTTGTTTATCTGACATACCGCAACAAAGAATAAGGACTTTATAGGGTGGAACATCACACGCTGAACTAGACCCCTACTCCTGCAAATGGTTGCTGTGTTTGATGTCACGAGAGTTGATGAATCAAGACAGCTTGACTGCCCGCTTGAAAGTGAATAAACAATCATTAACAGCTTTCTGAAAATGTAAATAAACAACATATCAAAGTTCCTAGCATACCATCAGGTGTTACAGTCGAAAAATAATCACCCTTTCGATGCCATGTAATTTGCTTGATAACCTAACAAATAACAAAAACAATAGGCTTCAGCATAAAAATCTCAACAAGACAGTATATGTTTTTATCAGCTATCTTGTGTGCGTGTTGCACAATTACAAGGAATCCATCTCCTTGTTTCGTTGGCGGTTTAGTCCATTCCACTAATTTCACTTGTTTGTCTATTAAACTATGTCAGTAAAATTCTTTAGATAAAAAAATTTTAAAAAATGAGTGAATCAATAAATGTGAAAAATACCATTTTTCTCAATGCTAAATCCAGATGCAACATATTGAGCTGTCAAATTTGCAATTTCATCGTCGCATACGGCAGGTGGCGAGATTATTATAACTTTATTTGAACTTGATGAAACCAGAATGATATGGTTTAAATTCAATAGGTAAACATTAACGCAAAAACATTTTACCATTCAAAAAAAAAATTAAGGCCTACACAGCAACTGCAAATGCACAGATATCCTTGTTTGGACACCAAGCCACGGATTGGACAATTTCATTCATATCCCAAGTTTTAACACAACGACCCGTCGTAATTTCCCACATCCTTATAGTCTTATCATCTGAACCAGACACCAACCATATTCC